TTTTTTATACTTTAGATATCAATGATGGGTTTTTTTTTTTGTTTTTTAGTTTGTTAAAGCTATTGATAAACTAGAACAGAACAGAAGAAATCCATAAAAAATAGAGTGGTAATAAAATTACCCATGGATCACAAATTTAATTCATTATCTTAAAATCAAGTGATAAATATCACCTGTCATGTTTTATCTTTTGATATTTACAAAGTTGTCCAAAGCGGCCGTACAACAGAGGAAAGATATACACTTAGAGGCTAAGGCAACTTTTCTTTCTGTATTTTTTTACTGTAGCAGTAATTTTTAGTAATCCTGTTTTTAACTTTTTTGTTTAACCTGTAAATAAATTCGGGACGTCCTAAAACTTTATATAGTCTACAACTCTCTCTCTCTCTCTGTCGTTCTCTGATAAATTCTTTGAGCAAAGCAAACGGACCGAGTACGCTAAGAATCCCCAAGATGAGGTTTCTCTCTTCTTCTTTTTTTAAAATCTTTTAATTTTCCTTTTTTTTTTAATTTTTTGCTCATTTTTTATTTTATACTTGTGTGTCTGGTTTGTTTGGTTGCTTAGAAAATGGAGGAAACTGAAAGGAAAAAGGCATGTAAAATTAAACATGAAGTTCCATTGCCACTATTGACTGTTTTGCTGTCTTTTTTTTATTTTTATTTTTGGGTTTTCTCTGTTTTATAAATTTTTTTTAGATTGCTGTACACAGAAGGTTTGGTTTGAATTGTAATTATCAAATTACTATGATTTCTCAAGGGTTTCTCTTCGGGCAACTCTCCAAGGAGTTATATTTGGCTTAATTGCTTTTTTTCCCCCTCATGACATTAGGATAACTGGTAAATTTGGACACCCGACCTCTGCCATAATTTTATTGCTGTTTAATGCCGCAACTTGCAATTTAAAGAGTAAAATTTTATGAGAATGAGAAACCCTTTTGTTAGATTTGGCTGAAGTAGTAAGTTGATGCCCTCATTCTCATATTCAATTTTTTGTGAGGTCTTTGGGTTATATCATAGTTCGTGGCCTCTTGGTTAGAGGATGTTGATGTCAGACGTTTCTTGTTCTGGAGTATAGAATGATGAAGCCCGAGAAGTGCACTTTCTGTTGAATGAGCGAGATATTGGGATGACTGTGTTTCTTTGTTGGAAGTTTAAAGAAATTCATACCCTTCTTACAATTTAGTGTCTTTGATACAAGGGTATTCATAGACGAGAGTTTTACTTATTTAATCTAAAAAACTTGTTAAAATTTGACAATACTATCATTTCAAATCAGGAAACTTGCACATAAATATTGATATAGTTTTTGCGTTATTTTGTTATGCTATCCTTGCTGATATTTATGAGGGTTGAACACATTTAAATAGAGGAAGTGTGTGTATAGACCTGTCATGTCTCTAGGATGCATTTTATCGCTGCCAGATCATGACCTGATCTTTCCGTCTATCCATTTTCTTGTTTATATATCTTTTACATCAGCTTTATTGCCTCATGTTATTCATCTTTTAAATTATCAACCTTTATTATCATATGTAGCATAGATTTTCATGTTTGTGGAATTTCTTTTCTACATAATAGTTCTGTAAATGTTTGACTTGGAAGTAAGTTATCTATTTCAGCATTCTTTAGTCAATAGGGTTTTCTGGTAATACATTACCTTGGAGCAATGATGTGAGGGTTCTGAACTATGATTCAAAATATACGTCATTTAAGATTTGCTTCAAGGATTGAGTACATTGCTTTAAGAACAAAATATGTTCTTAGAATGAGAACTTGTTTCTAAGTTTCCATTTGGACTTCCATATTGCAGCCGACATCCTACAGTGAAATGGGCCCAGAGGTCAGATGTAGTCTTCATAACTATTGAGCTTCCTGATGCACAGGATGTGAAGCTTAAACTGGAGCCTGAAGGGAAATTGTTCTTCTCTGCTACTAGTGGAGTGGATAAGATTCCCTATGAAGTTGATATTGATCTGCATGACAAAGTTGATGCTGCTGTAGGTCCACAGTTAAAATCTCAATTCTTATGACTAACTTTTAGTATATTCTACCTATGCAGTTATATAATTGTGATGCTTACAGGAAAGCAAGGCTAGTGTTGGCAAGAGAAATATCTGTTACCTTGTGAAAAAGGCTGAGAACAAGTGGTGGAGCAGATTGCTGAAACAGGAGGGGAAACCTCCTGTGTTTTTGAAAGTTGATTGGGATAAATGGGTTGATGAAGATGAGGAGGATCAGGACGACAAGAGTGAGTCTTATTTCCTTGATGCCTTAAATTTTCTTTCCACTACTATATCTTCATGGTGAAGGGTTTCCTTTTTAGTTTGACTTACTGGGGATTTTTGTTGCCAGTTGCACCTGATATGGACTATGGTGACTTCGACTTTTCAGTGAGTGGCACTTCATTGCCCAATATCTTATGATTTGAGTGCATCTAAACAGACCTTGACATGCTTTGCTTTTCCTTTTTGTTACAGAAGCTGAACATGGGTGGTGGTGAAGGCTTTGGCACAGCTGAATGTGAGGATGGTAAGTTTCATGATCCATCCAGTATCGTTTAGAGCGTGCCAATTAGCTATCTGGATCTTGAGTTGGAAGCATGTTTTGAAACAGCTAATTTCTCTTCTATTAAAGTAACCAACGTCAATGCATTCTCCTTGGCTTGCAGATGATGACAGTGATACGGAGGAGGAAAATGTGCAAGAAGTACCACCTTCGAAGGAAGACGCCTCGTCAGCTGGTGCTCAACCTGAAGTGAAAAAAGATTAAAGCTGTGTTTTGGCCCACGCTCGTATCAAGATTGGGTTTTTAAATGTTTTTACAGCAAATATTATGAAATGTTTTACTTGATGAGCCTCTTTTTTAGTGAGAACCTCTGTTTATTATGAGATTTTTAGATTGTGAGAGTTGGATAGTTGTCTCTATCAACTATAGATAGTGAAATTATAATCTGGCTGGTGTTACAGTCTAAATTATATCTTATATAGCTTAGATGTTGTAGCTCCTTGCAGTCTAAATATATGGGCAATGGTCTTATATTGCTTAGGTCTTGTAGCTCTGGAATTTGAACTAGCAAGTAAATTCCTTTTCATTTTGGATCAGCATGTAGTTTTTTGAAAAGGGTTTAGAAATCCTTAAGTTTAAATTTCCAAGTCACAAGGATTGTTTTGAAACATTAAGGAATTTTTTATAAAAAAATCTAATATTATTTTCTTGTCAAGATGTACAAAATCCGTCTGGGGTGAGCCTGTCTTAAAGAACAACTTAACCGTTAATTGAGTTTAGTCGGTTAAATTGATATTAGTTGATTTAATCAAATTTTTAAAACTTTTTAATAAGTTTTAGAGAAATTACTGGTATTGTATTTGTTGTATGATTAATATAACTTTATTTTGAGAAAAAATTAATTAAATTTTTTCATAAATCATAATTTGTTAAAAAAAATTCATATTTCAATAGGAAATCTAAAAATTACATAGAACATGGGTTATTAATGCATATGATTGAGTTTTATCCTTTTTCACCATTGTAATTGAATGGTTGGGTTATTAATATAATAAGGTTAAATACTTAAATAAGTTCTTGAATTAGGTGAAAAAAATCAATTCAGTCTTTATCTTTTTATTGCATTTAAATAAACCATTGAATTTCTATGTCGGATCAAATAAGCCATTCTCTTAAACCGTTGACTAATTTTTATTAGTTAATGACACATATAGCATTTTTATGCCATGTCATCTCCCACGTCATCTCCCACACCTTTTATTGCGTTTAAATAAACCGTTGAATTTTTATATCGGATCACATAAGCCATTTTCTCTAACCATTGACTAATTTTTATTAGTCAACGATACATAACATGACATTAAAAATTATTGATTAGGATTTGTATGCTTACTTTTTACCTATTTACTCAATCTTAATTAATAATATTTAATACCACATTATCTATCACGTGACAGATAACATGGTATAAAAGTACCACATGTACGGTTGATTAATAAAAATTAGTCAACGATTAGGGAGAAGGGCTTATTAAACTTAAAATAAAAATTCAATGGTTTATTTGAACACAATAAAAGGATAAATACTGAATTGATTTTTTGACATAGTTTAGGGGCTTTTTTGGATATTTAGCTATATAATAACAATATACTATATATTACTATATATTGTTGATATATAGTATAGTATATTAGTATACTAATCAAGTAATATATTATTAGTATATATGTTATTGTCTAATGAGTATATTAATAAGCTAATATAATAAGTTTTGTTAATATATTAATATATTAATAGCTTAAAATTTTTATATTATTTTCATTATATGTTGCATTATGTTTAATTTTATATAGGTTTTTGTATGATTATATCAATGATATTAATGTCTAAATAAGAATTTATTATATAAATTGATGTTTTAATAGAAATTAGAATATAGACATGAATTATATGTTTTATATATTAAAAATAAAAAAAAAATTAAACTACTAATTAGACTATGTTATTTATTGTATTTTATTTTTTGTTATTTGATGTCTTGATTAAATTTGAATCCTTTGTGTGTGTGTGTGTGTATATATATATATGAAAAATTTGTGTGAACACATACATGCAAAAACACTCTTTAAAATATATTAAATTCAAAATCAATTTACATTGATTGCCCAACTTGAAATTTTTTAATCCGATCAACTAAACGTAATCGATTTAACCAAACCTCCCAATTGATTAATCAAATTAATCAAATCAATCAATCTAAATTAATCTAATTTTGTTAGATAACTCGATTAGATCGATTTTAACCAACTTTTTGCGCACCTGCTAGTTAATAGCAACAAAACAAAATTTCCTGTATCATGTTTACTATCAGTTTGAGGCATTGGCAAAAATAGTCTTGCAATCAAGTACCTGACTTCCAAGTGAAAGCTTTTCTTGCCAAATGATTGGCAAATCCAGTATCCACAACCCAGTATACACACCGACTTCCAGCGATAAGATAATAAAAAGCTATGCATTCCCTTCTTCTTCTTTTTTTTCTAAAGAAAGTTGATGGATGGTATTAAGCGAAATTCATCAGGAACATATTCTGTTGTAACAGCAGACAGCAAATATGTCAACCACAAGAGTCATTAGTATGGACCTGAATATCTAATACAGAAAGCATGCTAGTCACTCTAGTACTGCAAATACGAAACAATCTTCGATCTCACATGGCGTAAAAGCCACATCAGCTGTCAGGCAATCTCAGCTGTGCCACTTCAGCAGGCGGTCGTAAAGTGCAAACCATCTCTCTTGTTTTGCCAAAGTAAACCTGCAATACGTAGATGTTCTGAACTTAGAGTACCATCTGCTTGATTGTCAATATCGAAAACATGCAAAGGCAATTGAAATCAAGAAAGTAGTCAACATACCTGATCCAATGAGTTCCGGAGCTTACCCTCCATTTCTTCTATCATCTTTCCCATGTTACAAAGATGACCATCAGCAACCGCGAGGTTCATATTCATCTATGGACAAAAATAGTTTTAAGGTTAAAAAGGGAGTTTAGACCCTAATCAAGAACTTATAAGATGAGTGCATAGACACAGAAAGTGTGGTCAATAAGTATTACGCTAGCCATAAATACATTAATCAAACAAGAATCTACGCTTTTCAATTATTTTTTGTATAGGAACCTATGCTTATTTCATGACATATCAGTATCATCATGAAACAAATCCATCTTTAAAACTCCACATTTTTGGGGGGCAAGAGGAAACCAAAAAGAAAGCCTTCTTGATAGAAATGACAAGAAGAACTAAGCATTCTGCCTCCCCCTGTTCCACTCTGGGAACAAACTTAAAAAATAAATTTTAATAATCTATGGAATAATGACCCAAATAAATTGCAATCATATTTAACTTTAGTAATGCAAAGCCCAAGCAACTTGTTCTCAAAAAGTTTCTTCTGCTGTATTCTCCTCTTATTTGTACCACGGAGGCCTTGTTCTTTTATTGGATTTTTGGGGTAGCGGGTGGGCAATGTGGAGCTGCAGTCAAGCTGTTGCCTTTACCCCAAGTACAGAAGGAGCACAAGTGACATTCAATTATTGTGAAAACATCTATAATAATTAGGCAAAATAGCATTCTCAATCCTAATTCAGGTTACATCATCCTATTTATAAATGGTGCTGTGGAAGCAACACCTAGGACAAGTACAGGATTTTAGATGGCCATCACTAGTTATGCACCTGTTTTCTAACAGATCCAGAAAATCATTGCCTGCGATGTCCAAGGTCATTTATTCATTGAAAATTGGGGGTCAAGAAACTCCAGAACCCATTCCTAGTTTTTCCAAAAAGAAAAGATGATACTGTACTTCTCCATTTTTACACCACTAAGTGATAATCAAAAAGTAGAAAAAGTGTCAATGAACCACTCTCAATAAACATAAAGCTGTATTCTCCAGCAATTTATTAGCTTCCCACTAGGGAAAAGCTTACTTTTCATTTTATAACAAAATCCCAGTACCAATTACCTGTCGTCTTAGTGATCCCGACAAACTGAAAGTGCCTGATGACTCATCATCTGTAGTCAAAGACAGCATAACTGTGCTGGTCAAGCAATATCGTGTTGTACCTTCCTCTTCAGGTCCAACCTATTTCAAAGGTTAGCATTGCAGCATGAGTTAAAGAATTTATTAACAAAACTTACTGTCCATAGAGGAATAAATGGGTAAACAGAACATAAAGGTTTGAGATAAGAATGAAAGTTTTATCCCTAATTGTATCAAGACATTGAGGTCACCTCTATAACATGTATAGCATCCCAAGCTCCCTCCTCCAAACAACCTCTTCGTCCATGCGCAGTCTTTGAGCCATCTTTCTCCAAAAATAATGACAGCAAATTAGTAGAAGTAACAAAGCATTGGGTTACTGGTTTTATTTAGATTAAAATTAAGCTGCTTACCTTTCTTTATCAAAAAGCAGGCTACAAAACCTTCATTGTCATCTTCCCACATATAGACAGATGAAATGCCACCTTCATAATACCTATTGTTTTTTTGGTTAAAATAAACAAATGAACAATAAATGAAGCAAATATTGCCTAGTATAATTGCACCAAAAATCCAATTTGACTGAGTTATGCCTTAAAACCCCTTGTCCAATGAGAGATAGAAAAAAGGTAAAACAAGAAGATATTTGAAATCAATTTTAATCAAACCAATGTTAAAAGAAAATGAAATAAACCAACTGTAGCACGAGGTAAGTAAGAACCTCACTGGTCACGATAGATTGCAAAGATATCATTAGCTTCAATTTCAAGTTTCCTCAATTCTGAAGATGGATAAGGCGCATCTTCCAACGGTGGATGGTACTTATTTGACCAAGGTGATCTACAAACATTAAAATTGCACAGAACAGAGTCACAAATTGTGTTGCTTACAATGATTTTTAATAGAACACAAGCCATTCAGCAAGTGAAAATGAGCTTAACATGTAACTCAAAACAAGGCCTTAGCACAGCCTATGAGACATGAAACAGAAACAGCAGCAATTGAAGTAAGCATGATTTGTGGCTCACATGGTTCCCTACCAGAGCAAACAGAGAGAGCACTGACTTTCAAAAAACACTCTAATTCTGAAGCTAGTGTTGGTATTAAAGTTCACATGCGCAAATTTATATCATATGGTTAATGAACATGCAAATATATACACACACAAAGACACAGAGCAGAAAGAGGAAAAGAGAGACGACAGTGGCATAATTCTTATATTATATAATGTTTATTCAAAATAGGCATCATGGTGACAAGTGCAGGTGCTCTGGATTATAGGTGCATGCTTCTTCTATGACAAACACTTTACAACGGTTTTTCTATGGATATTTTGGGGGAAAGTGCCCCAGGAGTGGCAAACAACTGTACACCCCCATTCAAATCTAGGAATTAAGGAAAAAAAAAACTCCAGAAGATTATTAGCATAGCCATTATTTTCTTAGGCAAGATCATGGTGATGATTAGGCTACAAAGGGAGAGGGAAAATTATTCATGGTATAACTTACAAATAGATAAATTAATCAGATATGTAGAGCTACCTATATGAATCAGCATCTCTGTTGTATTCACACAAAATGAACTCCTTCCCATTGTCCACATCACATAAAACCTGTTTGCATGGAAAATACAAGAACCTAATCAATTATTCATCCATATTAAGGGTACAAAACTCATTTCATGTTAATAAGTTTCCAATCATACCAAAACTTAAAAAATTATTGGTAACAATTGAATTGTATTTGACAAGTTGGTTGGTATGAGGACACCATAAACTCAACTGCTAGCAACGGAAAATTGAAAAATCCCAGTAATGGATGATTATATAAGAGATTAAAACCCAAACAGCAACAATATAAGTTAATTGATTACAGAAGAGTGCAAAACAGAAAACTGCTATCTCCATAAATTAAATGAAGAGCTAAAAGTGAAACACTTATTGTTCATACGGCTGCACTCAAGACTCAAATGGCCAACCGATAGAGAGTTTTACTCTCACATCACATCATGACACCCCATTTAGGTAGATCAAATTGATTTCCATTTCAGATGCAGATAGACATTTGACCTTGTACTCATTGATGAAGGAGATAAACATATAAAGAGACTAGCACGTATTGAACAAAACAATGGATTTGGTGAAAGTAAAAATTGAAGTGAAGTAGGGGATCTATAACATGACAATTTTTATGAACAACGCATAATCACCCTTTTCTCATGTTCATAAGTCAAGGCCACTACAATGAGGTTATAATGCGGAGCTATCAAGCTGGGATATCTCTTGGAAAACAATTAGGCTCGTGCATTGGTTAGAAAAATGAGGAAGAAGAGAAAGTACTCAATTCCAGTATCTGAGTAACTGAATGTCACACGCAATCAAGGTCCTAAAAAACTAAAATCCCAATACAACTAAACCCTAATCCTATTATTTGGTCAAACTGCTCAATTCCTCTTAGTATATGAGAAGAGAAAATTAAATTCTTCTCAACTGAGCTATAACATAATCTTTGACAACCAATGGCCAAATACACTTGTTTCACAGCTTTGAGAAATGAAGTAATGAAAACCAAAATGAAGACATGCACTGTTTCAAAAGATTTAAACCACTGCTATGACTTTGAACTAGCACACAATGTAGGTTGCAGATGTGATACACTAACATTCAAGGACTTCTTTAGAAACAGACAATTTTTTAAGTCTTGTCCAACAGTATTTTTCCAGCTCTTTTTCGCTGGATCTTAACAAAACAATTCTCTCATAATAGCCATATAAACATAAAATCAGGCATTCTGATTTTAAAAAAAAAAAGTTAAATATTTTAATTTTCTAAAAAAAGAGTTTCCAAAGCCACTTTTTGCATTTTATTTTTCTTCTGTGGCTAACGTTGCCTAACTTTTTAATAATTGTTCGCTTAAATCTCAAACTTCATTATCAAATTTTTGCAAGTACATTTTCCCTCAATCGATTTTAACAGAAAACTCTCTCTTAGCAATGAACCCTAAAAAGGACGATAATGTTAAACTTTTACTCCATTCCTAATCAAGCAAACACATTATCAAGTCATTCTCAGGAAAAGAACAAAAAACCTAGCAAATACTCGATTTCAGCAAGATTATGCAGCGAAATCTCCAAAAATGAAGTAAACACAGAGAGAGAGAGAGAGAGAGACCTGAAGAGGGAGATCGACTTGAGAAAGGAGATCGGAGGAGTGCTGAGGCAAAAGGCTTAAAAGAGCGGAGAGCGCTGTCTCCGAGTGACGAGGCGGCATTCTTCTCATTAGTCCCATCGCTGCCTCCATTTGTTCCTTCCTATTTCCCCTCCCAACTGAACTAACAAACAACAACCAGCACTTACTATTATACAACCCCAAACAGAGGAAGGGAAAGGAGATTTCTTTTCTTTCTTTGGTTAGAAATAGAAGAGAAAGGCGATGTCAGTAGTATTTGATTTTGACAATTGAGGGAAAACACAAAATGCAAAGAGAAAAAAAAAACAACAAAAACGAAAGAAAGAAGCGCCTTGTTTGATCCGAGTTTCCCTCGCGGGAACCACCACTGTGTATACAAAACTCTTCTTTCCTTTTATTTTTTTACCCTAAAAAATTGGGACCATTATGTTTCACCGGAGGATATAAAATAGGTAAAATACCTTTATTATTATAAGTTTTAATTAAAACTATACAGAGAATCATTAATTTTTAAAATAAATATTTCATTTCAAATATTTAAATGATATTAATATTAAATACAAAATATCTAAAATATTTTTTTTATTAATTTTTTATTTACAGGTTAATTGACAATGCTTCTTGCATCGACTAATCACCAAGAATCCTAGATTGATGCTCTTTGAGAGTATTGGAGCCTCAATCAGGCTCTCAAAGGAAGCACTAGATCGAAGCAGCAATGCTCTCTTCCCATTTTTTTAAATTAAGAAAAAATTAATAAAATTATATAATAATAATTTTTAAAATTTAAAAAATATTTTTTTAATATTACCACATCATCAAATTAACAGAAATATTAATAATTGATTATTAGCTGGATCTATATATTCAGTGAAAATTTTTTTAGGATAAAGTGTCTATTTTAAAAATTAATAGATTTTCATGTAATTTCGATTAAAATTTAAGAAAATAAAAGTATTTTACTCTATAAAATATAATAATTTTGTTTCTATTTTACAGTATTAATAACAAAGCATACTATTTTAAAAAAATTAAATTATTTCAAAAAAATTATTATTTTTTACGTTCAATCAAGTCTCTTTTTTTTTATTGTAAGGTCAAATAAGTTGTTTTGACAAATGTTTCATTAATTATCATTAATTAAAATACCATTTGTCATTTTATTGCTTACGAGATATTAACATAAAAGGTAAAAATGTTATATGATCATATCATCATACTACGTCATTATCCATCATGATATATGAGCATGTAACATTAGCATCACATGACAAGGAATGATAAGTGCATTTTGACTAATTAACAATAGTTGATCAACTATTACTTATAAAAGTTTATTTGATTCAACGATAAAAGTATATAAGCTTGATTATGCCAGTATGTCACATTAATATCACGTGACATAAAATGATAAGTAGTATTTTCACTGATAATAATTAATCAATTATTAGTTATAAGAGTTTATTTTATTCAAAGATAAAAAGTATATAAGCTTGATTGAATATAATAAAAAAGTAAAAATTATTTAAATTTTTTAAAAACAAATTTATGCAAAAAAAAATTTATTTATATTATACTTAATTTATCAAAATAAAAGAAGATTTACCATGAATAAGAAGGGACTCTAATTCCAAATATAGACCAGACACATGTGACACAAATAAAGTAATTTCATGTGTCAAACTCGAAGTAATCATATTCCCAAGCCGAAGTTGGGTAGATACATAAACAGATTCATGTAGGCACCTAGTTTGAATAGGCATATTTCACCCGCATTTAAACACTTTTGTTTGATTATGACCCATTGCTTTATGTTATCATCCCATACTAATCAATAATCATTCCTTGTTGCTATAAAATTTGAACATGGTTGGTTGGTAATTTTGGAGGGGATATGGACATGATTCCTACAAATATTGGCCCCTCCCCCATCTAAAACAAAAGAGGGTTAGGTGGTCTGGCCCTTTTGAGAACCCTTTCCTTTAGCTTTTTTGGTTCTACTTTTTGTTAGCCATGATGAGGTATGAGAGGCTGATTGGAAGACACTTCAGACATTCACAGCACAGCCAAGCAAAGAGTTGGGAGAGAACTGGAAACAAAACTTTTGTTTGTGTAGGCTGGAAGGATGGGCTAGACCCACAAGCAGCTCCCCTACAGTTGGCCAATATGATTAGCACCACGACCCCTGGTTTGGTTATTTGCTTCTGACCTTTAAAGCGTAATACCTCAAGCAATTGATTTAACTCTACTCTGCCCTTGGGCCTAAGGTTCCGAGGGACCTATGGGTTGCAGGAGAATGATGATTGCTTCAAGAGGAGGAACAAGCCACCTTCTTGATCATTCCCTCATTCAATAAGCTCTGGTCTGAAAATTCAAAAGCTGTTTCAGCAATACGGATCAACAAACAAACAGAACTAAAACTCTGATAGAAGTAATCAAGTTGAAACTTGGTTTCTGCACTACTTGCTAAGGGCAAGCTGCTCAGAACAGCCTCATGAAAAGTTGCAGGTTGAAGCTAGTACATGTCTGACATTCATTTTCCAAGTGTATATTTAGTGATTACCCAAAATCCACACATAAAACCACTGGATAACTCAAATGTTTCAATCTCGAATGGTTGCCAATATCACAAGCTTTTTCTTCATTTTTTCTGAATAAATTGTGGCATAAAAAAATCAGTATCCTACATGCAGTATGAGTCAAAGAAACGAGGTGCATTTCTGTGTGTCATGTACCTAACCTTGCATCTTCAATTCACATGATTGAAGGACCAATGGTATCTTTAGAGCCATAGCGTTCTGAGGCTTTCTTCGTGTCTTCTCAGTGTCCAGTAATGCATCCATCACCTATACAAAATTGACTGATCGATCACTTGACGTGGATGTAATGAATACCACAGAATCAAAGAAGCATCCATGCCACTCTGGCTACTGAAATCTATATGTCTCTTTCTGTCAATTTGTATTTAAGTTTGGATTAAAGCCTCTGTGTATACGTCTAGTGTACTAAAATGATGCCAACAACTTATTTACAACTGAATCTTATCAGATCCCAAAAGCAGTTCAATAACCTCGAAAAGCTGAAAACTAAATATTCAAATAAAGTCTTTTTTATTAAACTTAAGAAAAAAATTTTATTAACTTATTAAGGGACATTCATTAATGATTTCTAATTCATTATTTTTATTATTTGTAAAAAATTTATCAAGTACTCCTTTTAAAGATTGTATTAAACTTTCAACTCTTCCTTTTTTTTAAGCTTTGAATAACCATATTTATATTTTTGATTTGAGATATTCAAATTTCTATTATGAAGTACCAAAAAGATTTAGTTATTGTAATTATCTTATATTTTTGAAATGGCTAATATAAAATCAATATTCGAATAATCAAAAGTCTAATTCAATAAAATTTTGCTTTCCATAAAAAAAAATTAATCAAAATTTCTAATTCAATATATTAACTATTACATAAAATAGAGACAATATAATAATACAATATAAACTCTAAATTAAAGTAAAAAAGTTTGCAAAGATTAAAACAATAGTACTTAATTGTTGAATATTTATTAAAACAACAAATGAGGCTCACAACTTTATGAGGATACTTAAATAATAGACTTTTTATGTATTTTTTGGAGGAAATTGAAGGTAAAGAAGAACGAGCAAATGAAGAAAGAAGAATTCAAAAGTAGATATTATAAATTTTTAAAAAATAATTTTATATTTAAGGAAAACATAGTTGTTTGGGATCATTAAATACATATCACTATTAGTTGATTGAAAATAAGTGAAATAGTTGAGAATTAATAGTATTGTGGGAATTAAGAAGTGATGACAACTTAAGATTTATTAGACATATAATTAGAGAAGTGAGGGAATATGACGTTTTATTAATCATCTTGACTTTTACATATTCATAATGGGAAATAAGATAAATAGTTGAGAATTAATAAGGATATGGAAGCTGAGAGAAAATAAATATTTATTAGGCACTTAATTTAAGAAGGGAAAGAATAGGTAGATATTTTATTGATTATTTTAATTTTATATACTTTTAGCATAATTTTTTATGAATATATATTTTAACATAATTAATTATATTTTTATAAAATTATGAGACTTATGAAAAATTGAAACCTCAAGCAAGAGCTTTGGTGGCTTTATGGTATAGCTGGCCTCATCTAAAAACTTACTTATAAATGAAACTTATCTGATTAGTTCCCTTTATAGTGCTTTTAGCATGGTTATCAATATTTAGAGTAACTTTAAAGTTTTGATTCAATCTAGTTCTCTTTGATTTTGTCTAAAAGCTTATTCATCAATTAGAATCATAAGAGTTGAGTTTTTAAGTGGAAATGAAGTATTGCACTTATTTATGAATATGTGTGTTCTAAAATATATTAAGAGCATTTTGACAACATTTGATCTACTATGATATTATGAGTTATCTTTTGAACTCTTTTAAAATTATTAATCAATAAAGTAGAATTTTGAAGTGGTTTATGTACTTTCTAGACCATTTTAATAGAAGTTGACATTTAAACCAAAATAAATCTAACAATGATACATGATTAGCCATTGTGCATTTTGAATAAGGTTATTGTTACATGAACAAATATATAAATATATAAATGTCTTTTGGCCTCTTTCGAATCATCTAGTGCACGAACAAGGTGTAAGATATAAGGACCTTTGGCTAGTTGTTAAGTGTAGTTTATGGGAGTTTGATTCATTTAAATGCCTCAACATGAGTTTGAACTTCGATATATGATATTTGTCACATCTCATTCTCTAGAGAGATTGTGACCATCGCTTGAAGATGATACATATTATTTCTATATATTCATAAACTTAAGTTTTGGTCTCACCATTCAACTCTCTTTAATTTTACTACCATTACCATCTCTCTGTTTATTTCTCGATATCTCATTATATCATCATCGATCTACAAATCAAAGAGCATAACATGAAAGGTAACAATATATTTTTGGATTTATTAATTTATATCACAAAACCATTTCTTTATCTATCTTTCGCCATCTCGTCATATCATCGTCGATCTATAGACCAAAAAGCATGGTATGGTGACTAACAATATGTTCTTGGGTTTATTGATGTTGAGTGTTTTAGTGATTCAAGTTTGGTAGAACTTTTCTTAGTGTATAATAAAGTTATTCATGCTTTGGTGTGTAACATCAATAGGAAGAAGAAAGTTTTGGCATGTAATAACTAGTGCTAAAGCTATGGCATTGGCATGTAACATCTGATGCTGAAACTTTGACTTTGGTATGTAACATTTGGTGTTAAAGTTTTGACCTTGGCATGTAACATTTGCTGCTGAAGTTTTGGTGTGTAGCATCTTTTACTGAAGTTTGCAACATCTGT